TTAAAGTAAGCTTAAAGCTAAAGTTTAAATCCCTCTAGCTCCTTAATATCTCTAAAGAAAGATCTTAAGGGAGTTAATTAAATAACCTCTACTTAATCTTTCTTTTTTCCCTTCTTAAGCTAGTTAATCTAAAGTATAAGATTCTATATTATCTTCTAAATAGTTAGCTTTATTAGAGTATTATTAGTAAGTATAATAAAAGCTATAATATCTTCTTTATTATTATATAGTAATTAAGATAAGGTAATTAATTAAATAAGAGTTATTAATATATAATAGTTAGTTAACTTATACTAAATAGAGTTTAAGATAGGTTAAGATTAAACTAATTAGGGTATTACTCTAAGTAGTATAATTAGGTTATTTAAGTACTATATAAGTTATTACTAATATATAAGTACTAAGGAGCTAGTTTTAATAAAAGTAGTAATAATAATATTAATAACTATTTAAGAGAGTATTTCTATTTAAGAAATAAGTATATATATATATTAAGTAGCTTATATAAGCTTACTAGTAATCTAAAGTAAGTTTATCCCTAGATTATAAAGGCTTATTAATAATCTAAAGTAATCTACTCTTAATTAGCTAGGATAAGAGAAAAAGTAAGGTATAATATATAACTCTTTATAGTATATATTAATTTATAATATATCTCTCTTCCTTTCTTTCTCCTCTTCTCTCTAATTATATATAAGTAACCTTAGTAATTATCTTTATAATAATAACTAGAGGTTATAATAATTATAATTATTATTTTATATTAATATATACTTTAAGATTAAAAAGGTTAATTAAATAATATATTATTAAGTAATATTACTTTTATTAATTAAGTCTTCCTCTTTAAAAAAGTTAGTTTTATTAAGAATATAATTACTAAAGTTAAATAAACTAGCTATTTACTTTAAATTAAGTAAGAGAAGATTATTAATCTTTAATAACCCTATAGCTTTAGTAATACCTATAAGCTTATAATTATTTATATTTATATTAAGAAGTTTAAAGATTAATAAGTTATATAATTACTTATTTTTAATAATAAATACTAATACCTTTAATATCTTACCCTTTAGTATCTTAATATATCCTTTAAGTAAAATATTTATATTAATATTAAGGTTTAATATATTTATAATTATAAGTTTAAAGTAAATTAAATAAGATTAATAATAAGTATAAGCTTAATAAGATATTTAAGATTTAAGTATATATAAGTTCTTAACTATTTTAAAAATAAAGCTTAATATATTTAATTATTAATAAAGTAATAAAAGTAATAATATATAAAATAGTAAAGGTAGTAATATATTATAATTAAATTATCTTAAAGTAATAAAAGTAGTAATTATAAAATAAATAGATTATTAATATAGACTTAAGCTATATAGTTTTATTAAGTATATTTATAATAATATATACTTTATCTTTTTATTAAAGTTAAAAATAATAGCTTTTAAATAAATAGAAAATAATATTTTAAGGTTTATAAAAAGAATTATATTAATAAAAAACTTATATTTAAAATATAAGCTATTATTAATATTAAACTTTATATATAATTAAATATAAGTTTTATAACTAAATAAAAAGGCTAAAGATTAATATATTATAATATTAAGTATAATATTAAGTTATTTAATTTTTAATATTTAGGAATTTCCTTTTTTTTTTTAATAATTACTATATAATTATATAGCTCTTTTACTTACTATTTATTAAAATATTTAAAAATATAAAAATATTAATTAATTTATTATATTTAAAAGTATAATATAATATTTATTATAATAGAATTTTTATTATTAATAATATAAGTTTATTAATTTTTAATACTTAGTAATTTATATAATTATATATTATATAATAAAATTTTATTTATAATATTAATATTTTTTTAGTAAATAAAAAAACTATATAATTATATAATAATTATTAAAAAAAAAAAAATTTCTTAAATATTAAAATTTAAATAATTTAATATTATATTTAATATTATAATATATTAATCTTTAATCTTTTTATTTAATTATAAAGCTTATATTTAATTATATATAAAGTTTAATATTAATAATAATTTATATTTTAAATATAAGTTTTTTATTAATATAACTTTTTTATAAACTTTAAAATATTATTTTTTATTTATATAAAAGTTATTATTTTTAGCTTTAATAAAAAAATAAAATATATATTATTATAAATATATTTAATAAAATTATATAATTTAAGTTTATTTATAATTAATAATTTATTTATTTTATAAATATTATTTTTATTATTTTATTATAAATAATTTAATTATAATATATTATTATTTAATTAATTTTTTTAAATTTTATATATTATTATTTTTATTATTTTATTAATAATTAAATATATTAAACTTTATTTTTAAAATAATTAAAAATTTATATATATTTAAATTTTAAATATTTTATTAAATTTATATTTATTATTAATTTTATTTAATTTATTTTAATTTTATAATTATAAATATAATATATAAATATTTAAATTAAAAAATATATATATTAAAATATAAATTATTAAAAATATTAATATTTATTATTAAAAATAAATAATTATATAATTAATTAATTTTTAAACTTTTTATTATAAATATAAATAATTATATAATATTTTTTTTTATATATTTTTTAAAATTAAATTATATTTTTAAAACTTTATTAATAAATAAATTATTTTTTTAATTTTTTAAATATTAATATTTAAAATTAATAATATTTTTTTTTTATATATTTTAAAATTATTAATAAAATTAATATTTATTTTTTATTTTTTTATTAAATTTTTAATTTATTTTAAAAATTATTAATTTTTTATAAAAATTTATAAATTAATTAAAAAAAATTTTTTTTTTAATATTTATTAATTAATTAATTTATTTATTTTTAAATTATAAAATTAAATTTTTAATATATTATTTAAAAAAAATTTTAAATATTATTTTAAAATTATTAATATTATTAAAATATATATTTTAAAATTTTAAAAATTTAATATATATAAAATTAATTTTTTTTTTAATATATTATTAATATATTTATAATATTATTATATAATATATAATTATATAAATTATTAAATATTAAAAATTAATTAAATTATATATTAATAATAAAAATTTTATTATAATAAATATTATATTATATTTATAAATATAATTAATTAATTTATTTTATAAATTTAATTTTTTTAATAAATATTATAAATTTTAAATATAATAATTTTTTTTAAAAGCTTTTTTATTATATTATATTAAATAAGTTTAAATTTAAATTAATTTATTATATTAAAACTTAAATAAAAGTTATTTTTATTTAAATTAATTTAATATAATATATAATATATTAAAATTAATAATTAAATATTAAATTATAATAAATATATATAATAAAATAATTATTATTAAAGTTAAGCTTATTAAGATCTTTTATATTTTTAAAAAGTATTTTATTTAATATTTTTACTTTATTTATTTAATTAATATAATATAAAGTTAAACTTAATAAATATAATTATTAAATTTATTTTATTATTAATAATTTTATTATTATAAAAAGCTTTTTAATTAAATATAAGCTTAAGGATTTTATATATATTAAATATAACTTTTTTAAGTTATTTATAATTAAAAATAATATATTTTTTAAAAGTTTATTATTTACTTTAATAATTAAGTTTTTATTAATAAAAATATAAATATTAAATAATAATATTTTATTATTATTATTATTATTATTATTATTATTATTATATAAAAAAGTAATTATAATTAATAATAATAAATATCTCTTTTTAAAGCTATAATTAATTTATATATTAATTAATTTTTATTAAAGTTTTTAATAAAATATTAATATTTATATTTAAATTAAATATATAAATATTTAAATTTTTATAATATTAAAGATTTAAATATAAATTATAAATTATATTTTAAAAACTATATATAATAATTATATATATAATTTAATTTTAAAATTAAATAATTTTTATTTATAATAAAAGAAAATAAATAATAAATAATATTTATAATATTTAAATAAATTTAAAAAATTATTAATATTATAAATTTATAAAATTTATTAAATTAAAATTAAAAAAAATTAAAAATTATTTTAATAATAATATTTTTAATTTAATTTTATATAATAAAATTATTAATTTTATTAATAATTATTTTTAAAAAATATTAAATATAATTAAAATTAAAATTATTAATTATAATAATTATATTTAATTTTAATATTTTAATAAAAAAGTTTTTTTTATTAATTATTTAAAAAATATAAATTATTAAAAAAATTTATAATATTAATAATAAAATAAAAATAATAATAAATAAAAAAGTTATATAATTATATAATAATTATTAAAAAAAAAAAAAAATTCTTAAATATTAAAAATTAAATAATTTAATATTATATTTAATATTATAATATATTAAATAAAATAAAAATAAAATTTTATAATTTTATAAAAAAATTAATATATTTATTTAAATAAAATTAATTTTTTTTATTTATAATTTTAATTTAATTATTTTAAAATAATATTAATATTAAAAATATTTATAACTTTATAATTTAACTTAAATAATATTTAAAAGTTATTAAGATCTCCTTTAATAGATTTTTATTAATTATCTTTATTTAAGATTAATCTATTATTATAAGAAGGCTTTATATTATAGAAGGTAGCTATAGAGAGTGCTATAGCCTGGAAGCGCAGGCAGGGGACTAGTTGTCTATAAGATGGTTAGCTGGTAACGAGAACGGCATGGAGATAGCTGCGTTACCTTCGCGCTGGAGCTTAGGTGACGCGTGCTCGAGCGGAATCAACGCGAGCAGGTCCTGGCTACCGTCCCGCGAAACCTTCAATAGGCTATTCTAGAGGGCTGGTCATGGCTGCGCTTAAGGGAGAAGTGGAAATGAAATAGGAGGGACGCGACACGTCGCGATCTTCATATAGTAATGGTTGCGCGGGTGGGCACCCTGGATGGCGCGCTGACCGGAAGATCTATTTTTCCGCTACGCACGCTAGAACCCCGTGGCCCGAGAGCCCGAGCTGCAGCCCTCCAATACTGACATCCTTAGCGAGAAGCCTGGCCTATTGAAAGGGAATATCTGACGTTGGGAGGGGATAATCCTCCAACTACCATGGCACCTGATTTGAAAAGCCACGATGACAAGGATCAGTCTCTTCAACAGATCAGCCGGAGTCATCGCGCGTCGATCGTGTCGCAGCTCGTGGCCATCAGCGGTCGGAACAACCAGGTGCAAAACTCGAAGTATCGCTCCTTCGTTAATAGGCTCCACTGCCTTGAGCCCAGAGACTCAAAGCTACATCGTCGCACAATTAACGCTTTTCGTCAGCGCCAGTATGTCGCGCTGTCGTACACCTGGAAAGCGTCAGAGGATGAAGACCCCAGTAGTGGCGATTACTCTGTTGAGGATTGGGACAGCAAGTCGCTGATACGCTCAGGGGTCCGCAACTGCGTCCTTGACCGCGTCTTGACGTACATGCGCCACGCCGATGTTGGCTATCTCTGGATCGACATGCACTGTATTCGCCAACATCATTGCGAAGTTGATTTTTGCGTCCGGCACACCAATTGTCTGGAGAAGCAGGACGCAATACAAGCCATGGACCTTGTGTATCAATTGAGCGAGCATCCTGTTGCGCTTCTAGGGCGGAAGCTCAAGAATACAGCCGAGCTACACCTTCTTGCAAAGATCCTCTCCGGCATCCTTGTCAACTACGGGTTCAAACTATCAGCATCGACTAGTGTTGATACGGCACGGGGAGCTTTGGTACTGTTGAGCGACATCACACGAGACGTTTGGTGGCGTCGTGCTTGGCCGTTTCAGGAAAACTATCGTGGAGCAACACGGATGTTGTTGATGATCCATCATGACCACTTTCTAGAGCGACAAAAGCTCCGGTATAAAGTGTTTGGGAAGGTACCCGGCGAGATGTGTATCGCATCTGTTAGGTTCTCAATAAAGGCAACAAAATTATGTCTAACGCTCAGAGAAGCCACATGGCTGACGTCGCTGGACGAGGAAAGACTCGAAAGCGTATTGCGTACAGCAGGACGATACACCCTCATGCTGGATGGCTCAAGCCCTATGACCCCAAGGTTGATCGCCGATATCGAAACGAGAGAAATATCTCAACCATGGGATAGGCTTGCTATCACAGCAAACTGCTGCCAGTTCCCCATAAGGCTCATGTACAGTGCAATCAGCCGACAAAGTCTTAGCTTATCAATCCTAGCCATGTGTCTCCTCAATGGCGAGATCCTGGACAATGACAGAACCAATGTAACCTCAGTTACAGAAAAGACAACATTGAAATTTCTCGACCTCATGATGTTTAAAGACTTTCATGCACCAGAGGACCACGATCGATGGCTGACATTCAATAAGGGCTGTCGGCTGGTAGACGTAGAGTTAACGCCGGGCGGCGTTGTAACAAGCGGTCATCTTTGGAAGCTGGGCCGTGTCATCGATCCATGGATCCCTCGACGCAAGCTACCTCGGACAAGGTGCGCGAGAGGACGACTGAGCTTGGTTCAGCGAAGGCGGCTGCTGCGACTTGTTCATTGCCTTCGGAAAGTGGGCCACATATGGCTCGCCAGCCGGATGGAGGGGTATCTGGCCACAGACGCCATGGCACGGGGGGCCTACAAATCATTCAAAGAGATGTACTTACATACCATGGCTGCTGAGCTGGCGAATGCGATCCGAGATCGTCGGAAGTTGAAGCTCGGCAGCATTTGGAACCCGACAGGGCAAACCGCATCCTATCATGCGATCTTCGTGGATGATACTAAGTGTCTCAACAGAGCGAATCTTCTGTTTCCAGAGTTTGCCTTTACTTCAGCGCGGCAAGGCGATCTCGGCTCACTGACCCATGAAGCCAACGACATTGACCGGCATGTGTCATTGCTGGTGGAGCTTGAGCAGCCGTCGGGCAATACTCATATACCTCACCTCCGTATCAAAAATTGGCTGCTCGGGATGTGCTTTTTCGACGGATATCCTCGGACCAAGGTTGTTTTTCCCTGGCCGCAAAATCTGCTTGCTGTAAAGCCACATAAGGTCTAAAGAAGGAGAGCGAATGAATGCCGGAAAAACTTCGACAGGTTAGAACGATAGACTGTCGTCGGGCAAGGGCAACGGCGTGTCGCGTATATCGTTGCGATGCTGATGTTGATGGCAGAGGATTGCACCGAGCAGAGAACTAGATGGCTAATGCCCCGAGTGCTTGGTTTTTCCCAGCAAGCTTCCCATTCGCCCCCTCATTGTCATTGTCTGGCGAATAACCGATTCCCGATCACGTGGACGTACTCCTCCACCAGCCGAGCCACTGCCACAAGTTTTCACTGGACCACAGCGCGAGCTTCATCCCCTACCTACCCTATGGCTCGAAAGGCATAACTTTGATCACGGCGCCGTACTTACTACGAAGGCGCGCTGAGCACCATAAGCTAAATTCTCCAAGTCACTTGCTGTGTACATGATGGAGACTTCTTCAGCCAGGACTGAAAGAGCAGTTGCCGTGGTTGAACGTACATCTTAACTACACTGTGCTTGGAAACGAATCGCGGAGGGGTGGTGTTTTGCTTTGGACAGTAAGGGTAGCCTTTACCCTTGCTGACTCATCTCGCACCTCAGAGGCTGTCCCCACAATAAATGCGCTGATCTTCCAGGGGTCAACACCCGTCAAAGTGCGAACAACATCGCGCCTCAGTATACGGTCATGGTAAACCATGCACTTTCAGCCACATGACGGTTCATCGCTATAACGGTCGCGCGCGTTGCGACAGCCTACCATCGAGGACAGGCTTAAGAGCCTGGAGGAGGACTTCGCCAATCTCCGCAGCTGCGTTTGCTTGTTGCTGGATCAATTCCAACCTTTACAACCACCCACACCAGAGAGAACCACGCCCAGAACGCGGTCTCGACAGCCTGATAATGCATCTACGGGGCTGGACTGGGCATTTTCAATCAGCGCTGCATTCGAACGCTTGTCATGCGAGATCGCTGACTTGAAATTTATCGCGACCGCAACAACCTCAGTTCCTGACGAGATAAGCCCCGATAAGAGCAAGGAGAGCCACCAAACAACCTTGAACATCCAAACTAAGAGACCCGGGCCGAATAAGAATATGAATGGAATTAGGAATGGGAAAGTCAACTCTGCGGGACTTTCCATTGCTGGAGAGGCATTGTCTGGATCCAGTGAATCATCTAACGCAAGCAATAATAGTGATTCAGAATCTTCAAGCAACCTTCATACGGATGACTCGGAACGAATCGACGAGGGTAACATGATACGGCCGAAGCCAAGTCGGTTTCATCTCACGCAAGACGACATGGGCTGCAACCTCATACCCAGCATTATGCGATGCCGTGAGGACCCTCTGTTCGCTGGCAAGCTCACTGCAGAGCTCCCTTTCGTTGCCTGGAGCAAGATTCTCGGGAGTCTTACGTCGATCACTGGAAACGACCATCAACTTGGAGTACGATTCAAGGCGCAGAAGGGGTTGACTAACCTCTGGAGCGCCGCTCCCCCACGCGACTCCCTCCAGGCAATACCAGTGCCTCCGGAGGCCGACCTAGAATATCGGCAAGGCCTAGAGATGTTCCTTGACAACGTCATCGAAAAGCCGCCAAAGACAGAGATACCTTACTACGTTGGCCCAGCATTACACTACAAGGGCATGTTAAGTGCGGGCGCTGACCTAGAGAAGCTCCCGCAGCTGGATGGCGTTAACAAACATTACATCCATATTGGGGACAAGAACTCAGGCACTGCTTTCCATCGCGAAGATGGCGGACTGCGCTCATGCAACCTTACTGTGTATGGGATCAAAGTCTGGATCCTAATTCACATCGACGATAACGACAAATTTGAGAGTTTTGTGCGCGAGCAGCCCCTGAACAATAATTGCGCTCAATTCGTTCGTCATCTGTCCATGCTCGTTTCTCCGAAAACCCTCCACGAGCACGGCATCAGGTTCCAGGTTTGCTGCACCGGGCCAGGGGAGATGATTCTTATGGAGCCTGGCCAATACCATGCTGTCATCAACCGGATGAGCTGCCTAGCAATGTCTATTAACTTCACCCTCCCGGGCGATAACCTTGGCATTGACGGCCTCGCGGTCTGCGCCGAATGTGGCTTATACACGTTTAGCGCACTAGGACTCCAGCCTATTAAGGTAGATAAGAGCGCTACTGCTAAAGAGACTTCACGCAATCAGCGATCGATTGTGCCGCAAAAGAGAATGGCCGAGGGCCGTCAATGGCCGGATAGACGCGGTCCTAGGCCTAACTAAGGCATTTCCACTATTATTGCTGCTTTGAAGCACGAGGCACAGGAGGCACTTCAGAGGGATGAGAAGTGCAGCATACCAACATATGATGCTAACTCCCCGCTATCGTAAAACGTCTTTAAGCTCGCTCTCGCCCTTCGCGGCCGAGAGTCTGTCCGACAACTGTGCGGCCTCGTTAAGCAGAGGAGAGAGCTTGACATCCTTCGCCCTCAGGCAAGAGATCCTAACACAAATGGACCGGCCGATGAGGATACCATGATAAGGCAGCTGTGTAACTCTGCGAAGCGGTTAGCTCAATCGACTTTGATAGGAAATATGGGTGTTCTGAAGCGACGGCTGGCACAAATTGACCGTCATCGGATTGCCGAACGTGCCAGAGGTGATCGGCAGCGTATCTCCCCAGGTACGATCCAACGCATGAGGGATGAGTCGGGGCTGGCGAAGGACACTTTGAAGTATCATACGCAGCAAGGTCGGCGATGGGCAGCATTGTGCGACCCGCTCCCTGGCCTGCTGTGCTTGATCCCATTGTATCGACACGGAACTATAGAGCAGCCCCAGGTCACACCCAGCGACTACACGTCGCTTAGTAATACCGAGCAGGAAAGCTTGCGGAAGCTCATGGGTGATGATTATAGCAGAGTTTTATGTAGCGCTTCTGCTGCATTCGTGGAATCGATTAAGGGGAATATTGCCGACATTAAGTTCCTCTAGGAAAACCACCCCGATGTATGCATGGACACGTGCGATGAGTAATTTATACTTCGCCTTATCAAGGTAATGCTATATCAGGATGAGAATATAGGATTAGAATAAAGTTCTTAACTAGAGGAGACCAGATTACTAGCCTAAGGCATAGTCCTAGCCAGCTAACCTAACATCCACACTACATAAATCAGACCACCCCAGCTACTATAAGGGTATAGAGTGTGACTACCTCAGCAAAATAGCTATTTCCACGCCCCTCATTCGATTATATAGTAAGAAAGGGAGAGGTCTCCAGGCTGTAGTGGGCAGGCCGGGCATAGTTGCCTATAGGAACAGCGAAATCCTTAGCATGCTCACTAGTGAGATATTCCCCCCTAGTACGTATTAAGATAATCCCTGGACACTTAACTTCATTAGACCCGATCTCCTAGACGAACCTGTTGTCTACTAGATCAGACCAGTAAACATGGGAAGCTGCTTTCGCCTCCTCAACGCTGCTATCAACCTATGCGCCTTACTACAGTCGAGGCGTAGAAGCGATAATTACGTCACGGCTGTTGTCGCGCGACGCGATATCATGGATGGAGAAGAGATCACCATATCATACAGACAGAGTAGGACAGCGATGGAAGAAGACGACTTCATATTGTAACCGGGATTCAGAGCTAGCGCCTGCGGGGCAGACCGTTCGAACTGGATCCTTATGCTGACGTCGCCTGCCGCAAAGCAACTGCCCAAAGACAAAGGGGAACCGCCTTGGGCAAGATCGCAACGACGGGAATCAGGCCGTTGACTATCCCAGTTACCCGACCTGATTATGACTCCGTCGATGCCGTCAGACCAGCGCTTGCAATGCAATGGTTCTAGACTTGGTTACCACATTTATGAGGAGCATTGATCTTGACCGTCCGAGGCTTAAACGGACTAGAATAGTGTCCATACTTGAAGGAGATGTTCATGCGATTTCAAGTTCCGGCACTTCGGATGTTCACATCGTATGATTTCCCCTCGCTGCAGAGCACGTTCCTGCTCGCCTAAGTGATGGTCGTCAAAATGGCCGTCCCTGATTGTAGGGCGACAGTATCGAGAAGTGCGTTCCTCGACTGTCAGCCGTTCGTCTCCGAAGCAATCAGGACATTGCTTCGCGTCTAATAGGAGTGGGAAGGGGTCAACCTATGGCTCAATTTCGAAGTCAGGAGATTCTTCTTTCACCGAGGTGCCTTTGAGTTTTCGGCTGACGCGCCGACGTTTGCCCAACTACGGGTCATCGTACTCATTACCAGTCGGTAGCATCACATTATAATAGAACGCGATGATGTTTTCGACTCTGCTTTGTCTTTGGGCAGTCGCTTTGCGGCAGGCGAAATCAGCACAAGGATCCAATCCGTGAAGAAACCTGCTCTGCGTCTTGATTATCCTCATACGGATAAGCATGATCTGTGATCCTCGATTAAGCGCATTTGCGGACAACCGCCATCGACCTAATGGCGGCCTTATGCAACAGGCGAGAGATGAGTTGAGCCCAAAAAAGGCGAGGGTCCTTAAATTAGATACTCTGATCTGATCCCAGTTTTCGGCCTCCACCAAGCGCTTAGATCAGCAAAGGTACGGTTCTCGTTTTAGTTCTCTTCGCTGAGGGTTTCGCGACGGTATTCTCCTTCGCTGTTCTCAGCTGTGGGACTGGCCCGCCACGTGAATGACTGAGACGCTATACGTATCGGCAAACTGTGATCCAGATTAGACCGGCAGTCACGTGGATACGGCCACTCTATTGGTCAACAGTCGAAAACATTGGATGCCTGAGGGACTGAGCACATATTTTGCTCCATCCCATCTCCCACAAAGGCCTCACGACATCTACTAGCGTCCCGGAAACTCGATATTGCAAAGCTTTTCGGCACATTGTCCGCGAAATGACCAATCAAGACCGAGTTTTCATTCTTGTCGGCTCCACAGCACGCTTCAAACCACAAAATGACGAGCAAGTCGTTGGCCCAGCGAACACTCAGATCAACACTGAAAGCAACCCAGTCCAGATACCCCTCACGTACTGTGCAACCTGTGGTGTCACCTGGCTCGTGGGGGAAATAGGCCTGGATGCTGCAACCAAGCATCCGACACACAACACCTATGAACATATATATGCGGGGACTAGTCGCTCACTTGTGGTATTCATTGATGGTGCCTGCCCATCAAACGGGCCAGCTGCTCTCCAGGCCTCGGTTGGTGTGTATTTTGGGCCTGACTCACCGAAGAACATTTCTCGCATCATAGATACAAACAACCCAACGAACCAGCTCGCAGAGATAACAGCAGCGTTGGAGGCTATGCGCAAGGTCCGCTCTACAGTTGTCCTGGAGCGTCGTTCTCTTGTCAAGGCTTCGTTTCCGGGAACTGGTGCTGACAAGTTGCGGGACCTTTGCCACTTTCGACTCATTCTCGGTACCGACTCAAGCTACTTGGTCGACTGCCTTTGCGAGTATATGCCACAGTGGACTTCAGATGATCAAAACCAAGTCTATGGCAATCGTCAAGGACAGACCATCAAGAACAGTGAAGGTTTTAGGATGCTATACGAAGAGACGGAGCTTCTATCTATGGTCGGTGTGCAGGTGGTGTGGTATTACGTCCCACGCGATTTCAATCACGAAGCAGATGCTTTGGCAAATGCAGCGTTACCTGTAGCCTAACCAATCATTATTTATCACCGGCCTCATGTTCAACATGCTCTCCTTGGCTGTGCTTGGATTGCCATTTTGCTGGATTGTTGCATAGGCAAGCATACGTCCAATGCAGTTTGGTTGTCCTGCGTAGTACTGCTCAAGAATGACGGCACACTGCCTATGGATATCCGAGACACTACAAAGATTGCTATGACTGGATTCTGGGCAGAGGATGAGACGAAATTGCAAGGGGGCTATAATGGTCGGGTTCTCTTCTTCCATTCGTCTTCTTATGCAGCACGTGCAATGGAATTGATATTAACGCTCACCCGTCTTTGAGAAGTTTCACTGCTTCTATCACGTTTGGAGGGCGTGAATGCGCCGTTGGTTATTTCCCAGAACAGTATAACATGGTGCGGAGGCGATAGTGCCATTGCGTGACGCTACAGCATAGCTGGAGCTAATCAAGGCAGCGTGGTGGCTGTCACGTTGATTGCTTTGATGCAGCATTTGGGTCACGAGTGCCGTAATTTTGGGGGCTTTCGGGGAAGTTATTGGTGAAGTACTTAACGTATAGCAATGAGAATTTCCTGGTTGTGACAATGCCGGAAGTTGCCGTCTTTACTCTGTAGGAACACAGCGAATATGAAAGTCCTTATTCAACTACAAATAGTCTAGCCAGCTATCAAGTATAAAGCACCCTACTTTCCTCGTCGAGACTTCCACTTGTTACAACACCTTCGGACCTTATCCAATCGCTTCAAAATCAACCTTGGAGATATTGGATCCTTGCCTGAGCATCGCTCCCTCTCGCAGTCAGTTTATCGTCCCTGCTATACCTTGGAGTTAATCTCTTGTTTCGGTATTTATTTTGATAGTGACAGGCAATCATAACCTAGTCACCTACGCGATGCCGGGAGCGTGGCTGTCTCTATGAAATTGAGCCGTAGTTATGGCCTTGGGATGAGGAGTGCTTGCAGCACCAAGCAAGAGAAGTAGAGCTGGAAAATAGGTTATAGAGTACCGCCAAAGTCCAATGGAAAACTTAGCAGGTGCTAAAGATAGTCTGCGCTGCGCGCTAATGGCTACTTTTACCAACAGGTCTGTCTGGCTGCCGTCGCAACGCTGGCGTACAATGCTAGGGCATCGTGAGCGCTAATATTCGTAGCGCTAGTAGAACGCCCCTCGTAATGCTGCAGCATATGAGTGCTCTAGGGCGTTTATCAGGTGCATCGTACTGCGCAAATTTCAGGGCCATCCCTGTTTGTGTTTCCAGCAATGGGCTGACTCCTATAGCCTTCGATTAGGTAAACATGAGTCACTTCCAGCTCGAGACCGAAGGGAAATATAGGGAGATCAAAGTCAGCGTCGGATGAGACTCTCGTCATAGTCCTCCAAGCTAAGTTTCCTGTCGCTAGTTGATCTTCACGGAGCATAAAAACGAATATAAAAACCCGGAATACTCCACGCATACAGATAAGGCTTGGGCGTAGAGATACTATTCCATACAGAAATTCGTAAACCAGACCACAGTCGACGAACTTAATATCTAGCACGCTGATTCTTTCGACTTTGTTCCCCCTTATGATGGCGATGAGCTACGCCTCAATGAGCCGGCAAGGGCGCCTGATATCAGGATCTGGCGACTAGCGTCGGAGGCAGATATGGAAGTCTGGTGGCATACCGAGATCTCTAATCCAGTACTTGCTGCATGGGCTCACTACCCGAAGATAATCGCGTTGCCCTTGAAGAAAAAAGCGCTGTACGTACTATTGCGCCAATGACTACCTCAACAACAACGTCTCGGCAGCCCTGATTCTCAGGGGGGCCACGAATGTCGAAGGCGCTAACGAGCATGCTGACAGTCACGGCCAGCCAATCCCCAGGGAATACTGCCAGTCCATCAGCTTGCCGACCACTACACCACCACTTTCACCAAAATTAAGGGACTGAAGGCTCGTAATATGATCGTGTATATCTTGCTTTCGTGGCCGATATGCTTCGCATCCGTGCTCTCTACGCCTTTCGCAGCCAGTGTGTAGCCTTGAGGCGACAGGCGAAATTTGAACAGACGTGCTCTCAATTTTGTGGTACCGCTCTCTTTAGGTCCTACTTATATAACATGGTCGTCTTTCTCCTCGACGGCATGTTGATTATTGGAGTGCGACTGCTCGCAAGGCGCAGCACATGCGACCAGGAGCGCGACCAGTTATGCTGCACCAACCCCTGTTCGTGCGATCATTGCGAACCGTGTATGGAAAGGATCTCCGTCATTTCCCACTTCAACGCAACCCAAACGCAGCTATGTTTTTCAGCTCGGCCGAATCACAATTTACAGACGCGCCTAAACGAGTCACCTGTGCGAGCTCCCTCCCTCCAGGGACAACACACATATGTACTAGTGCATCCTTGTTTTCAGGTCCTGGTGCTGGTTGATCAACTTCTCTTCTTCACGATTTCGGCTCCGCGCTGCGCAAAGGATGAGATGAAATTCCCTTTTTTTAGTGCGAGTCCCAAAGGCAAAGCTGGCCACGTCGCCGACGCCATCCCGCTCGTCGAATCAACATCTCCAGGCAGAACAGGAAACAGAGCGGTGGGCTCCGACCATGTCCCTCTTTCTGACTTCGAATTCGTCAAATTGCAGGAAGTTGAGCGGATGTTGGAGGACAGAGAAGGATGGAAAGACCGTACCGGCATCGTGTTCGGACACTTCATGATGATGGTATTGACGGAGCTTATTTGCTTCATGCTCTTTCGCATTTCCGCGGATAAATACTGGTGGCGCGATCAGCCGCCATCGCCCAACCCCCAGTCTGTCGAAATCCTGGCCTATATTACTCCTCCGACAGCAGCGGTTGTGGCAATTGTCGGCGTGATTTGGGTGCTATCTGGCCTGCACCTCCTGTTCTTCGTCACGCTCGGACTTTATGTCCTTGTCACGACTGGCAGTGCTTTGTACGCTCTGGTGGTGGTCGGGGTGAGCAGGACCAACTCGGTTTGCAACCACGATCGGATCCAAAGCGACTGCGACGAGGCTCTGAAGTCTACTCTGGGCGCTGCTTTACTCAAGGTCTTGTTCGTGTGAGTTCATTCCGAAAGTCTGGATTCTCTCGGTTTCTAATTCATAGGCAGTGCGCCGTTTGCCTTGGGCTGGTTGTTGTGGTACGTCTTGCGACTCAGGAAGAGCTTGAAGCTGGTAAAAGCAGATCGGAAGAGGTGGGCAAGAGAACACCCGGGTAGCTTTAGTTAGGAATTTAAAGACATGGTATTGCATATATCTACCTTTGCACATAGGGCTTGAATAATATCCATAACAGGCCCCTTAATTATAATATATTCAAAGGGCTAATATTATCCTTATTTACTACTAGGGTCTTATAAGCGTATTATTATATCTCGCGGATTCTAATATATAAGGAGAAAAGTTGCTTTTCCTTTAAGGCGCTCTTTAAGAGCTTAAATTAGTATTATTATAGCTATATAAAATCTCCCTAAGCATTAAGGCTAGAGGGGTAATATTTACTATCTACCTTTATAATACTAGTACTAGAAATATTAGGCTATATAGTTAAAGATATAAAGAGATAGTAGTAATAGTTATCTAGATATTAACTTAGAGTTATATTTTACTAAAGTTTATTATCTTACTTTAATTACTTATTTATTTACTTAAGATATTTATTTATCTACTTAAAATATTTATTTATCTACTTAAGATATTTATTTATTTACTTAAGATATTTATTTATCTACTTAAGCTATATAATTCTTACCTTTAAATATTATAGCTTAGTATTATACTTTAATTATAAGCTACTCTATACTTATATTATATAATATACTTAAATACTAAGAAATAATACTTAGAACTAAATATTAAGTAATTATAATTAAGTATACTTTACTTAATATTAATTACTATATATAAATATTAAGTACCTTAATATATATATATATTTATTTTTTAAATAAAAATACTCTCTTAAATAATTAGTAATATAATTATTATTACTTTTATTAAAATTAACTACTATATAATATATAACTATATAAATTACTAGGTATTAGGAATTAATTAAGCTATATATTAATAATAAAGATTTTATTATAATAAATACTATATTATACTTATAGATATAATTAATTAATTTAATCTTATAAATTTAACTTTTCTAGTAGATATTATAAACCTTAAATATAATAACCTTTCTTAAAAGCTTTTCTACTATATTATATTAAGTAAGCTTAAATTTAAATTAATTTATTAAATTAAAACTTAAATAAGAGCTACCTCTATTTAAATTAATTTAATATAATATATAATATACTAAAACTAATAATTAAATATTAAGTATAATAAGTATATATAATAAAGTAATTATTAATAAGGCTAGGTATATTATATAGGTCTTTTATATTACTAAAGAGTATTTTATTAAATACCTTATTAAATACTTTATTTATTTAATTATTATAATATAGAGATAAACTTAATAAATATAATTATTAGATTTACTTTATTATTAATAGCTTTATTATTATAAGAAGCTCTTTAATTAAATATAAGCTTAAGGATTTTATATATATTAAGTATAGCTCTTTTAAGTTATTTATAATTAAAAGTAATATATCTTTTAAAAGCTTATTATTTACTTTAATAATTAAGCTTTTATTAATAAGGATATAAGTATTAAATAATAATATCTTATTATTATTATTATTATTATTATTATTATTATATAGGAAAGTAATTATAATTAGTAGTAATAAGTATCTCCTTTTAAGGCTATAATTAACTTATATATTAGCTAGCTCTTATTAAAGTTTTTAATAAGATATTAATACTTATACTTAAGCTAAATATATAAATATTTAAGTTTTTATAATATTAAAGGTTTAAATATAAGCTATAAATTATATTTTAAAAACTATATATAATAGTTATATATATAGCTTAAT